CAAATAATTTTGCTTCACTTGAAATTAACATGTTTTAGAGAGGAAAAAATCCCATCCTATTCACAAGAGAATGTTTTTAGCTTATGTAATTCAATGGATGCCTTTTTAAACAAGCCTAATTAAATTTAATTTTAAAACCATATTCTTATTCAAAGGAGGAAAACTCTAAAATTTACATTCACGATGGAAAGGCCGCTTTTATGATAACTTTTCTGAAGGCGTTTTAACTTGGAAAATGTATCACAGATACATACATGTGGTTGTCTTTCTGCTTTACTTTAAGAATGACACCAATGTTAAGATTTAGTATTTTAATGAAAAAAAAAAAAAAAAAAAAAAAAAAAAAAGAAAAAAAGAAACATAGAAAGATGAAAAGAAGTAAGATAAAAATTTAGTTCCATAGCATAGGGTGGCATCACAATAGTGGTAATCCTCACACCAAATGGGTTTGAAAGTCTCTTAACTACCCCGTAATAGCTTTTGGGATCCGTTCGCCACGTTGCCGTCGCAGCATCTCTCACGCGCAGAAGTGGAGAAGTCAACTTATCACACAGCTTCGAGACTCATCTAGCTTGCTGTAGCTGTTGCCAGATTTAGGAAGGAGGAAGGTTGAGTTGTAGGAGCGAATTACCACATACATTATGTACTAAAATTCTTCCAAATGCTACAAACGTAACATTAGCAATCCTATATAAAGCAACTAATCAGTGCAGTATGAACTGATTAGTTTTTTTTAATCTGTTTGTAACCAAAGTGATTTCATCTGTTTTTACTTAATATGGCCAATATTAGAAAGTGAAAATTAAACCTAATTAATAACTTCCCCTCTTATAAGGCTTTTTTTTAATCATTTCGATCTTTTTGTATCAGTGAAGTATTATTTTCTTCCTAGAGAATAAGACTTTATGTATACATGCATAATTATTTCCAAGTTTGTAAAATAAAAGTACGCATACGGAATAAAATTGTATAAAGTTTTTGTGGGATTCATTTAATTTATCAAATAATTAATTTTTACTTTGTAGCAACTTTTCTTTTGATTCTCGTTTTCAACCTATGCTTTCTTGCCAGAATGTTATAGTTATCGCGATGTTATAGCTAGCCGAGTTTAGCGCTAGAGCTAGCTGTTCTAGCGCGATGTTATAGCTAATAGTTTTTTATTTTTTTGGAGGGGGGCGACGGGACAAAAGATTTGGAGCTTCTTGTTTTGAACCAATCAGTCAGTGCCAGTTTTTCCAGCTATTATTGCTACTTTCTTTACTTTGGGCAACATTCTAATTATTTTTTCGATGTTCAACATTTTTCGTTATAGTAATGTTGAAATTTTAGAGTTCTTCGGTTATTTTGAAGAATGAAGACTGAAAAATATGCAATATACTTTCGGGACTCGAAACCTGGACCTCTCAAATACGCGTCAAATATGCTTCCAATTACACCATGAAGGTATACGGAAAGAAGGGAGAAAACATCTTATATATTGCTCCCTTTTAAAGGGCGACTGGGGATTAAGGGACCTAGCCGCTAAATCCTAATGACGAATTATCGTCTACTGTCTTTGGTGCATTTCAAGAAAGACAAACGTTTACAACATTTGGCGATATTTCTCATCAGTAATAGTGCAGGTAATAGGAACCGTAGAGGAGATATTCTAGGAAAAGGTCTTATTCTGAAATTGGCAGCGAATCCACGCAACACAGTTTTAGAATCATTACGTTATTTTGAAGCAGGAGTACATGAAAAATGAGCAATGCCCTCGCGGGGACTCAGACCTGGACCTCTTGAATACGCGCCGAGTGTGCTACCGTTACACCACGAAGGTATGCTGGAAGGAGGGAGAAAATACATTTTTGTAGAATGCAGTGGCATTCGGTGAATCACTGTGGACCGTTCAGATGCCGTGATTATTGACAGAACCATTCAGATAAAAACGCGCTTCATTTCATCATAAAATTTCTAAGTCCAATAATTGTCAATTTCAATTTGGGCAAGACACGTTAGAGCCAAAGTCAGGCGCTTATCATAATCTGTCACTCTTAGTTCTTGCGCTCGACTGATCTTACATGAACAGAAATACAGTAATTTCCGTAAGATTTTCCTATCAGTAGAATAAGGTATATAAGTTTGGAGAGCTATTTCACGAGCTCTTGGACTACTTAGTCCCCAAGTCGTCGAACACTGCAATGGTAGCGCTTTTTAAATGCATCGTCTGGTAGTGCTTATTGTCCTCTAACTTCCAGTTTCCTCGAGCTTTTTAATCTCAGTGCTACAATAAACACTGGAGCTTTACGCACTATGAAGCCTTCTAAATTCCCTAAGAGCCACCGCAGCATTGGAGACTAGTGCAAAACAGATTTATGTATAAATAATCAATCAAAGAACTGCCGACTTCAAGTTTGTTGTCTCCTTTTTTTAAAATGAAGGTGTGACGTTGTCACTTACGCACTAGGAAATTTGCATAATCTGCCTAAAATGCGCAAATTTTCCTATTGAGTATGTGACAGCAGCGCCAAAATATCTTCTAACGACGACTTTTGATACCACTTTTTTTTTTTTATCGAAATGTGTCTCCCCATGCCTTTCACAGTCTGTATATGGAAACTGGTTTCATTACGTTCATTAATTAGTTTTAGCTGCAAGATGCCTTCAAATAGGAAATTTTTTTTATAACCACCCTATGTTTTGCCTCTCCCAAGTTGTAGATATGAAAATTAAAAAAGTTTCGTAAACTACATCTGAAAATTCGAGAACAGCCTAAATTAAAAAAAAAATGCCATAATCAAAAATAATTTCTCTGGTGCTATTACAAACATATTACAATCATTTGTACAAGAAGAGATCACCAAGGGTACATATTGTTGCGAGCTATTGGTTCATGGAGATGTCTTTAATAATTATTCCGGATGAGCGGGAAGAAGTCGGCATTTTATTGAAGTTAATAGCTGTACACAGCAAAGTAAACAACTGTGAATAATTCACCGAACTTTCAGAAACTTCTGAAGCAAATGACCCCTAAGCTCAATGCAGTCGTTTATATAGGTTTACCCAGGTTTTTGCAAGCTTCAGGAAAAATCGCCACGCCGGAAGTAAGTTTTCCGGAAATTTCTTGAAAATCACAAAGTTAGCAGGAAATTGTCAAATTTTGCCAGTTTGGTGATAAGAATAATTGTTAACTCACGTTAAGATAGTTTCTACCTATAATCCCAGCTTCTAATTGAGTTCTTTTCAGCTCATTTCATTAGAATATCTCATTCATTTCGAATTAAACATTGATCACCTCAGAATTGCAAGATCTGCAATTTTAATTAAGAAATAAAAACTTACAAACGAAGCATGCGAGCATAAATTTGACTAAGCAAAATTATGTGCTAAAATTAGTACATTAAATGCACCAAATAAAAAACCAGAAATAAAAAATAGTACACAACATTATAACAAACACAAAAAACTAGACTACAACCAGATATTTATAAAAATTTACAACCCTATTAAGGAATCTGTTTTTGGTTGACGTTGGACGAATGCTAAATTTTCTCAAGCGCTAAAGGCTCCTCGAATTTCGAATGCCTCATGTAAAGAGAAGGAGGAATAAAAAAGGAAAAGATTTTTGTACTTAATATTAAGTTTTTAGTTAAAGTAGAATTTAAAATCTGCGTTTAATGTAAAACAAATTTAAGCATACAGTTTTTAAAAATACATCTATATTTATTGAAAAGGTTGTGATTGAAATTTAGCAAATAAAATACACAGTTTCCAGTTAACCATGCTCGAGTGGAGGACTATGTTATTCAAAATTTGATTACTTTAGAAACCGTTGTTTTTTCACAATCCGAGAAACATACATACATTTATGTAGATTCTTTATTATTTAGTTTCTTTAAATATAATACAGGACGATAATATTTGGTGGTAACAACTGAAATGTGATACATTCATAGTAATTCGAACGCAAAATGTCGTTTCCAATCTAATAGTCCTTCTGGGCTAACGCTAATTATGACTAAAAAATATTGTTCGAGTAGCCGTTCAAATTTTTTCGATTTTTCCAAAATCATATTTAAATCAAAACAAGTATAGACGGAAGATTAGTTCAACATTTAAATGATGTAACATATCTATGAAACATTGAATTTTTCCAGAAAGTTAAGAAAACCCAAAAAAGTTGTGCATTTTAAGAATTTATCAAGGCGTCAAAAACTGAATTTTCATCACACGAGATGATATTGGTGATCAAAATACGACTGAAATTGCAACAATCCCATTTTTATTTTAACGCATGAACCTGAATTAAAATAATACCTTTTGTTTATTAATATTTTGAATTAAAGCGTTTTAATGTTTTAGGCTAGAATTCGAATAATTTTATTGATGTAAAAACCACGAATATTTTACGTTTTCGATTCTCGAATCTTTTTCGAGATTCGTTGAATACGAGCATTTGAGGATTGGAATGTTCCATCTTCTAGCTTGTTAAATACAGGAATATTTTATGACAATTAAAAGAAATCTAAATTAACATCAAGAGCTTAAAAACATAGAATAAGTTCTAGTTATTCAAAATGTAACTAGTAACTATTTATTTATAAATACACTTATTTTGACGACTTAAATTAAAATGGCATACATTGAATATTAACTCTGAACTTGCAAAAATTCTACATGCAATTAAAATTTTAAATTTTAATAAATAAAAATCAATCAATATAATTGTATCAACAATAACACTTTTTAACCTCTTGAGAAAAATTATATATTTATTTAATTTTGAACATTAGTTTACTTGATTCGCAAGCCACATAAAATACACTGTGGAATAAATGAAGTAAATTAATTAAAAATGATAATAATAATAATGTCAAAAGTTAAATATTGATACTTATAACTTTAAAAATAATTTTAAAAAAACCTCATCAAAATAGTAATGTATGTAAAGTAAAATTAAGTAAAATTACTGTTAGAAAATTAATTCTTCAAAGATATTGAATAAATTGCGTATAGTTTACCATTTGAAACAAGATTTATTGCTTGAGCCAACATTCATTGGAGTCCTAGCTCTTAAAAATGTCGTTGAAAAAAAGTTTTTTGCTTACACTATGGCCTCGAACTTGCAGACGGTTCAAATTTCCAAATTCATCATATTTATGGCTTTTGTAATTATGGTGGAACAAACAAAGGAAAAAAATGTCTAGACTAAATAGACAAATGCTAAAAATATGTAGATATTTTGCAAGAAGTGAACCGATAAATAAATCACGAAACCAAGATTTATGATGAAAATGAAGATATTTATCCCTATAAATCAAATTGATGGAATAAACTTTCTAACTTCCATATTACTGCGTAAGATTATTCTAGGAATAATGACTCATTCTACTTATTATAACGAGCAAGAAGCAGACGATCATCCGCTCTGCGACGTATAATTTGCATCGCCAGTGCATAAAGAGGAATATAGGTAAGATTTTTTTTTCAATTCTTTCATTCCTTAGCTAAAATGTGTTGTAACTTAACACCGTTGATTTAAAATTTACATTTCCTATGGCATTGTTACGTAATTTATTATCATTAATAATTTTAATTCGAAAGCAAAAAATTGTAAGTACTTGTGTAAAATTTTTTGTATTAGCAGTTTTCAAAATAATGCAATCTTCTATTACCAAATAGAATACAATTGTATTAAAATCTATAATGTAACACTTAATACAACGAAAACGAAGCTAAGTATTACTAATAATAAGCTACAGTGTGTCCCAAAGACAGTTCGCACACTTAAGAATTTGCAGAAAAAGCGCTGTGTGTGAACTGAATTCGAATCGAAAGCTCAATATTTTTTTCATCATACTATTTTCTTGTAATTCTGAATGAAACCGAACTTTTTAATTTTCTTTTTCTAAAATTGAGAATGTAACGAGGCAAAGATAAAACACGTCACAAAACTGATCGCACATCGAAATATTTTTGTAAAATTTCATAAATAAAATTATCGTATACCACTTTTTTTATTTGTCCATTTTGGTTACGTTTAAAAAATTGTTTGACTTTACGTTTTGCTTGCTTAATTCTTTGTACTTTATTTAATATTTAAAATGGCTCGTAGTGGTAAGGAAACTACGAACACCATTCGAAAATTGATCATTTTTTATCATAAGGATGGAAATTCGATTCGGGATATCGCTAAATTAGTAAATTTATCCCATTCTACGGTGCAGTGTGATAAAATGCTTTAAAGAAGAGAAAAGGGGATCCAAAATACAGTAAGAAGGGATTGTTCGGGGAAGAGGACTCAACATAAGAAATCTGGGTTCTAGTGTATAATTGGGCGCCCCTTCGATTAGCGACAATTTTTTTTTCAAATTTTGGCGATGAAACCTCATTTCTGGTTACCATGATAGTTTTAACTTTGTTTTAGCTTCCTGATTTTTTTAAAATGAAAATAGATTGATGTGTACATGGACAAATTTAAAGCAGTGCGCAATGCCGAGTTTGTGCAATTGTCTGTTTTTTTTGAAGTGAAAATAGATCGATGTGTACATGGACACCGAGTTTGTGCTGACTTCTTATTTTGGTTTTGTGTAGCGGCTATCTTGAAATTGTGCTTTCCTGGCGCCGATCTTGGCGTAAAAAAAGAATCGCCCCCCCAAGAAAGGGGGGCACCCAATTGAAAACTTTTACGTACAGAAATACTGTTTCAGGAAAATTTTCAGCCTATTTTTTATTAATATTCGTGCATGACGGGGGGTTCCTCACAACTGCGGTTGGATTATTGTAATTTGGCACAAAACCTGTCAAGGTTATCTGCGCCAGACAAATGGTAACAATGCAATTAGTGATTTGTAAAAACTTCCAGCTTAGGTAAAAAGAGACAGATTACAATCTATGATAAAAGCTGATATCTTTTAAAAAACAGGTTAAAGTCTATTATAAAAGCCAATATCTTTTAAAAACAGAAACAAATTACGATGATGTGTTTTTCCAATTAAATTTCTTAAGTCCAGTTCTGAACAATTAAAATGTTTTTGTCGAAAATAATTAAAACTCTGGCATTCCATCAAGATATGATGGACTGTCAGATCTCCATTGCAGTTTGGGCAGCTGGGATTCTCTTCTCCCTTCAGAAGATACTCATAGGTCAGGCGACAATGGCCAATTCTCAGTCGAGTCAAGAGGACATCCTCCCTTCTATTAGCCATACATGGCCAGTATCCAATGGTGGGTTTTACAATTCTCAGCTTGTTATATACTTTGTCATCCCATTGCTTCTGCCATTTGCTGAGAATTTTGCTTTTGACAAACCCTTTGATGTCTGCTAGTGGAATCTGAAGATTGTACATTGTGGTAGCAGTTTTAGCTGCAATATCCGCCAATTCATTCCCCTTAATGGCAACGTGTCCAGGGATCCACGAATAAAGAATCTGGTATCCCCAAATTTTTAAAGAATGATTCAACTCAGGATTCTGGTTGCAACTGGGTGAGTACATTGAGCGTGATTTTCCAATGACATTAAGGCACTCATGGAATCTGTGGTAGATAATAAACTTTATGTACTTTGTTTTGAAAGGTAAGTCAAAGCCAGATGAATTGCAGTAAGCTCAGAAGTAAGCACAGAGCAAACTGTATGTAATCGAAACCCCTACTATTGTTTTCTCTGTGACGAAAGCGGCACCAACATGATCCTGGGATTTTTGATCCGTCTGTATATAGAGGGATATATTTCCTATATTTGATTCTATGTTCAAAAAAAATCTGCTTGTAGATGATTTCGTTAGTTTGTGTGATTTATTCCAGTGTCGAAAAAGTATCCAGAGAATGGATTCTCCAATACCTCCCAGGGAGGAATTCCAAAAAAATCCTCCACCTGTATATCTATATTAGACAAATTATACTCCTCCACCAAAGCACTCATCCGCAAGCCGAAAGATGGGACACATGATGGTCGTGCCTGATATAAACGGGAGTGTTGGTCATTAAGCAATTTTGACCGCGTAGAATTTTCGGTTTGTGATAAGACTTTGAAATAAGAAGAAGAGAAGTTCTAAAGGCGCCAGTGCATATCCGAAGTGCTTGGTGATGTATCGGATCAAGTTTGGCTAATACTGAAGGCCTTGCCGACCCATAAATGATTGATTCATAATCTAATTTCGAACGAATGAGAGCTCTATATATAAGAAGCATTGAGCCTCGATAAGCACCCCAAGAAGTATTTGACAGTACTTTCAGAATATTCATAGTTTTTAAACATTTCTCTTTAGATAGGTAATATGGGGAAGAAACGTAATCTTATGGTCAAATATCATTCCTAGGAATTTTATTTCCTTTTCTACAGGAATCAGCACATCTTGCAGATAAAGTTCGGGGTCAGGGTGAGGAATTTTCTTTCGAGAGAAATGTACACACACAGTCTTTTGAGTAGAGAATCTAAAACCATTTTCCTGCGACCATTTAGCAATTCTATTGAGAGATGTCTGCAGTTTACACTCAATATCTTAGGTTTCTCCCTGGCAACTGACTTGCAGGTCATCGACCGTAGAGAGCATACTCTGGACTGTGGAGGCAGTTGTTTTAAGATAGGGTTAATTTTATACTGATAATGTAACACTTAATACACTTCTGTGGAACGCCCCTCTCTGAGGGAACATGTCAGAAAGTGTATCTAGTTGTGCACCTCCCTTTTCGCTCAATCGGCCCCGCACTAAAAGTCTATAAATAGTTATATATGTATATATATATATATATATATATATACAGTGGTGGCCAAAATTGTGGACACTTTGGAAATTTTATGTTTTTGAGCTTGTATGCTTATAGAAAATGGTTACGTTTCGCAAAATGCACAACTTGTATATATCATTTTAAAGAGAATTATTACTGAATTCATACAAAACACAAAATTTAATTATTTGCAATACAAAAAAAGTTATGTACTTTAATATAAATAAAAAACACAGTTATGAAAGTGGTTTGTAATGTCTAGCTTCCTGGCTAATCACTGTTCTGTTCTGAGAACCAATCAAATGTTAGTAACTGCCAGTAGAGGCTGACATCATGTTTACACTTGAACAATTCATTATTTGCTTTGTTCTGTAGAAGGAGACTGTTTCTTATACACTGCAATTACAAGTAGGAATTTTGTAAAAATTTTTTAATATTTAGTCAAGAAGCAATGACATCAAATAAAGAGTAGATTGGACACTAGAAAGAGAGTAATATTATTGTGTTACGAGAAAGGGGTCTTTCCTATGCGAAATGCAAGACGGTGGGTGGTTCAGTGACTACATCGGAGTCCGAAAGTTTTGTTTACGATATCAGGAAAAAAAATTCAATAAAAAACAAAGAAGGAAAAGGCCGAAAAAGGTGCACCACATCTATTGATGACAGAAGAATAAAAAAAGACTATGTCTCCAAGATAGAAAAATGTCATCAGCGGCCATCAGAAGTGATCTGAATGATGCTGGTATTTCTGTCAGTTCAAGAACAATCAAGAGAAGATTAACAGATGTTGGACTGAGAGGTAGAATTACACGAAAAAAGCCTTATCTTAATTTTCAGCAACGAAACAAAAGACTACAGTGGGCAAAGGAACACATTAATTGGTTAGATGATCAGTGGTCACAAGTTATATGGAGTGATGAAACTAAGATATCGTTATTCGGTAGTGATGGGCGAAAATATGTAAGACGTAGAATAGGAGAAGTGCTACATCCTGGACTGCATTCAAGCAACTGTGAAGAACCCAGTTAGTGTTATGATTTGGTCATGCATGTCAGCAGATGGTATTGGTCGCTTCATGTCATCGATGGGACACTGAATGCCAGAAAATTACATTGACACTATTCTAGAACCAAAACTTCTACCTTCCATCAGAGATATCTATTCCAACAATGCTTCGTTTATTTTTCAGAAGGATTCTGCTCCTTGCCACACGGCCAAAATATCGAAAGAGTGGTTTCGTACAAAGAGCATTCATTAAATTGTTGTCATGGCCAGGAAACAGTCCTGACCTCAATCCTATCGAAAATTTGTGGCACTGTTTGAAAACTCTTGTCCGAATGAGTTGCCCATCAAATAAAAGGGAACTAATCGAGGCTATAATTGTTTCCTGGCATCATATAATAACGAAAGAAGACCTTAAAACTCTTGTCAGGTCAATGAAACGTCGATGTGAAGCTGTAATCAAAAATTAAGGGTACCCTTACTAAGTACTGATAACTCACTGCAATCATCACTCTAATGTACTATCGATAACTATTATCGTTTAACTTTTTTTGTATTGCAAATAATTGAATTTTGTTTTGTATTGAAGTCAGTAATAAATTCTCTTTAAAATGATATATACAAGTTTGCATTTTGTGAAAGTAACGTTTTCTATAAGCATACAAAGTTCAAAAACATAAAATTCCAAAAG